AAGGACGGCTCCACTGCTGGTCAGCGTTTCTGTGAAATAGCACCCTGGTAACTGGAGCCCATTTTACAGGCAAAACATCCCCTCTTGGTTCTGCCTACGCCCAGCAAAGACGTTGCTGCGTACCGTTTTCTTTCCAAACTTGGTCATGTCCAAAAGGGGTCTGGGGCAAGAATTCCCCACAGTGGACCCTATGGGCTGCTGCCCCACGGGGCATCTTACAGCGACCTGAGAGCGGCCTTTCCTTGTGGGGCAGGTGGCGTTTCTCTGATCCCAGGCACTACGGGGGGGGGCTCTGTGCAGGCAGTCGTTGCCCAGGGCTAAGGGCTCTGCAGCCCTGAGAAACACCGGGAGAGCAAGGGGAGAATAAGGTGTTGAATAAACACCGCTCCCAGGGTCTTGGCTATGCACAATACTCCTGCAAGCAAGGGTTGAGCGCTGCTTTGGAGCAGAAAAGGTAAATATAGGTAAATTACAGAAACTGAACTGCCTGCGCGCAGTCAGCAGCTTGAGGCTCAGCGCTGAAGCTGTGCTGAAGGCCCACGCACGGTGGCGGCGCGCGAAGGGTAAATGTCGGGAAGCAGGTTGCTCTAGAGGGGCCGAGGAGCACTTTGGAGCAGGCAATCTCTTGTAATTTATTCCAACCAAATGCTTACGCCCTTCTGTAAATCTCACTTAGCGCCTGGGAGCTGATTTAGCTTCAAATGCCATGTTGTAGGAGGCGAACGCTGTGCGGGAGTGAAGCGTTTCTGTGCAAAGGGCCCGCAGGTCCTTCGCCCCTCGTCTCACTGCGCTGAGCCACCTCGGGATTTAAGGAAATGGCTTTCTTGCACCCAGAGCTCAGGACCCTGGAGGTGTCCCTTTGCCTTTGTCTCCTCACCGCCATTTTTATTAGGTTCAATTAAATGCGCTCTATGTATGTGCTTCGATGGCCCAGACGGAGACACGAGCACCCTGGACCTCCCTGATACGATACAGCTCTCCAGACTAAAGTACTTGAAATGTATTGAAGAAAGAGGGGGGGGTCCCTGTCCCCTGCCTGGTGTGACCGCCCCCCAACAGCAGCTGATGAGACGCTCGCCCCCCTGCTCTGCAGCGTAGGGCCAGAGCGCGGGTGTCTTGTGCTGGAGGAGAGCCCCAGGGGGTGCAGCCCTGGAGTCACTTTGGGAAGATTCGGCACGCAGCCGACTTCCCTGCAGATCGGCTGCAATATTCCCCGCTCCTTTAGCGTCCTGCGTGACCTGCAGCTTTGAGCTGTTTGACCCCGTTTTGTTCGACTGCAATACAAGCTACGCCTGCTGTTTATTTTTGCAGAGCTGAGCAAGCAGAAGCGGACCGTCTTGCTCCCACCGTTTGCATTGGCCCCGACTTTTATTGTGATACCAAGGACATACGCACGTTGTTTCAAGGCCATAAGCCTTAAAAAGCGCCCTCACGCCCTTGTAATACTGGTGCTTGGCTAGGAAAGGTATGTGTGAGAAGCACGAGTCCAAGCTGCTCGCTTTACCTAGGAAAATAAATGATCGGGTTTGATATTCTTCTCCTGGAGAGATGCAGAGCCCTGGGGAAATTAATCTGTGAATGGCTCCGACTGGAATTTCAGTCTTTTCTCACTGTGGATTTCACTTATGAAGTTATCCAGGCATTTTTTCGACGTGCACAATCTCTGAGCCCCCAGCTGTTGTCTTACAAGAATGTGCACTTAACCGTACTAGCTCATCTGCGCCGTGGGCCTCCACTGCTGGGCTTGCAAGGCAGCCTGGCCCTACCTTACCCAAACAGGTTTCTTCCTTGAAAAAGAAACCGTGAGCAATATTCACCAAGCATGGATCATGTATGGGCCGTGCTGACTGCGCTCTTGTCTCGCCTGGTGAGAGGGAAGGGGCAGTTAGATGAGAGTTAAGGTACAGAAGGTCACACCGACAGTTCTGCCTTGGGGGTGCTTCATGGGTTTTCTCCTCGGTTAGTGGCAAGCTCGTGGTTAGGAAAGGGCAGCTGAAATATATTCCATCATCGCAGACGTGAAAAAAAAGCCTGGCCCATTAGGCGAGAGGTGAGTTTTAAGCCCTGTGTTTTTCTGCTTTGTACATACTGCCCTTAGCTTTCATCCAGGTTACCTGTTCTTAAAGGGGTTTAACTAAAGACCAGTAATTCCATTTGTTTCATGTAGGGCACTTGATTTTATTCAAAGGGTGAGATACAAAAAAGTAAGCAAAAAGACAAAACCCAAATTATAAAACACTACAGACAAAAGTAAGACATCTTCTGCGTACAGCACACAACAGGAAACAAGATACAGACTGGTCCCCACAAACCAAGCCAGCTGGGTATGTACAAGCAGAGGCCAACAGATCTAGAGGGGAAGAAGGGGTGGTATTTGCCACTTCAAATGTATTTACATAAACTGAGTTGAAGGCAAAGAGTTTTCTTTCCTTTTATTCAAACCAAATCCTTCTTTGTTTCTTCTTCTTCCTGTTCCTGATGTAGAGGAGGGACTCCGCACTTTGAGGCAGGTTTGGTACATTCAGGTAGGATCTAAAATCAGCCACAGCTAAACACTGAGGTGCTACTTCAAGCGCCAAATTTCAACCCCTCCCTCTGGCCAACGCTGCCGCCAAGCACCTACTTGTGGTGTCAAGGACTACTAGCGATGGCTAGGGAGGAGAAAAGCTTAATTTGGGCTTCCTTATGCCCTTAGATGTTTGAGTCTGCAGCTTAACCAAACCTAGTGTGTCTAGGCTAGTCTTAAGGCTCCTAACTGAGCCTGATTATGTGTCGGGTCACGCGCGTGAGCTCCCTCCCGCTTGACTCGGAAATGGTCTGCGTGAACTTTTCAGCTCTTTCAGTAGAGAGAGGCTGAGACCTCACAAACGCGGGTGTCAAGGCAGCTTTCTGGCTGGAAGGGCGTCCCCGTGTTCGTGGTAGGCCATTACCTTCGAGTCAGTGAGACCATGCTGAAAAGGAGATGGCCTCGGCGTGGCTGCACCTTGCACGGCCACTCAAATCCTGGCTTTTATAAGAATATGCACGCAGGGAGCACTCGCTCGGCTGACAAGTTCAGGAAAGAAGAGCCTATCGCCGTTCTTCAGCAGAGCTAGGACGGAAACCGTTCTGAGAGCAGTATCGTCTGCGTACGACTTGATTTCCTACCGTGCGTGGAATAACCTTACTAGGATGTGGAATTTGTCTGAGATCTGTTTGGCAGAAACAACATGTGCTGAGCCTGAAGTTCTCTGGTCTTTGGTAATTAAAAACCCCTAAGACCTATGGGTGTGTGCTTCCCTTTAAGCCTCTGTAGAGATAGATAAGGAAAACAGTTACCTAAAATAAATTCTGATAAAAGTACGCAGTAATAGGCAGCTGCTATTCCAAATGGCAAAGGCCTTTATCTGTATTTACCTGTGGCTCAATTTTAGTGACAGGGCTACTGGATTTTTGAACACCTCAATTAGGAAGGAGGGAATTCTACTGGCTCAGTAAGCAAAACATTCATTTTGGAGAGCAGAAGACTGACTGTCTGTTAATAAATATCACAAGACATTCTAAAAGTTTTCTAAGGAAAAGAGAAACATCATCTGTTCATCAAAATGCAACACATCTAGACAAAATGAGGTAAGGAAAGCTAAGAAGAGTCCTTTGTACATTCTCACTTCACACAGGCATGGCAATTAACAACGACGAGATGGCTAACGGATTCCCTACCATGCTCAGCAGAGAAATTCTTCACAGCGAGTTTGCTCCACGGCATTCTTTGATATTAAGCATTACAACGTCCGACAGCCTAGTGGCAAGTAGCTACTAAACCTCTCTTTTGGCAGGCAGAGTTTTATGCACTTTGGGCAGTTTGCTGGCAACTTGCAGAACGCAGGGGGTGCTGCTACCTTTGCTTCTGACAATGAAGAATCTGTCATGAGTTTTAATGCCTTGAGTTACGAAGACTAAGGCTTTGTCTATCACAGCATAAAACCAAATAGCTCAGCGATATCTGTACAGTTACACCCGACGTGAGTGCGTCAGACTTACATTTCTAACTTAGACTCCTGTTCTTTGGTCCTCTTTGTATACAACTTACTTTCACAAATATTTAACAGCCTGCAATATCGAACTTCTACTGAATAGCAACTTGTATTTGAACAGGGATGGCTACCACCTGGGTGCTAGGAGCCTCGGTAAGCTAGCGGACAATCGTCTGTACAAGGCTAGATAAAAGCAATGCTTGCTGCTTTTCTTCTGGGTGGAATAGGAGAAAAAGATCTTAAAACAATTCTCTTGCAGGATTCTTTCACGTTAGATCCCACGCTAACGAGAACATAGGATGTGGCTCTGCAAGTCCTTGGGCTGGGGGACAGAGAGGAGGGAACCCTGCCTTGGTTCCAGCCCCCCACGTTAAAGGTTTGCACCGTTTCTCTTTTCTTAAGCAAGCTGAGTGGGAGGAGGAGAAAGAGGAACTGTCTTCAAATCGTTAGCACTGAACATGCCTTGTTTTTTCCTTATGGACAAGTTATCATCTTCAAATGAAGCAGGGAAGTCTACTGGTCATGTTTCGGCAGAGGCACGGAACGGTAACGAGTCAGTGCCTCATAAGCAAATGCTGTATAAATAAAATGCAATATTTACTACGTAAAGAAACACTGCCAGCACATGTTCATAAATTAACAGTCTGAATGTGCAGTATTAATAAATGCCCATATATTGGTTTCGAGAAGCTGTTTCCAGGCACGCAGCATTTCATTCTCATAATTAAAACTAAGCCTTGAGCTGCTACTAAGTTAAACAGTTACTGTGGCTTTATATAAAGTAGAATTGCTCCAGACAGAGTCTTTGGAAACGCCTCGGCCGCCTTCCCTTGTACAAGTCGGCCTGGATGACTGGTTCTTAGCACGAGCCTACATCCTGTGCAAGGAGAGCGAGGTTTAAGGGGTAGCGGGCAGTCCCCACGCACTGCATTGGTTACAGCAATTCTTCAGGAAAGTGCGTGACCTGGAATATCCACTGGCACTTGGATGATGCGTGTGTAAAGCTAATTCAAAACCCATCACTCTGGTAGGAAATTCACCTTTTTGCATGAGAAAATACGTAGCCAAAACTGCTTGTTAATGACTTTCAAAAAGTCAGCGTTAAGTCTCGAAGGCGTATGTTCTGTGTCACTGCTGATCCTCTGCAAGCTTCTGAGAACGCTCTTACCAAGGTATGGCCCTCGAGCCTTTTTTATCCACTCCGATTTTAAACCAGCTGAATTTGCCACAAGCCACGTACAAACTGCTCCTAACTAAACCAGAACCCATGCTCTCGTTAAGGGACTTTGGCTAACGTAGTAAGCCTCGGGAAGGCAGCTTCAGGGCCGTCTCTCTGCCAGAGATACGCAAGGCGGACACTTTCTTCTACACATTCAGACTAGTAAGTGACCTGCAGCAGGATAAAGCCAGTTCCCTAGGATGTGTTGACAGTGCCACAGGCCTCAGTTCAAGAGGAAAAAGCCTCAACACAGGAACAATTCTACCGTTTTTTTAAAAAAAAAAACAAAACACAACAGCAACAACAAAACCCTGGCGCAAACACTGCCCATATTCCTCTCTCCTCCCCCGCTTTGGTAAGCATCCGTACCGAGTCCGACACTGCTCCCGTTTACACTCGAAGGCGTGAGTTCCACTGTCTTCGTGGGCACAACGACGGGCATATGCTGGTGTTACACAGTGCGTTGTGGCCCACCGAGTCTACGAGATTGTCACTTGCTAGGTATTTGGCATAGGTAAAAGCCTTCTGAAGCAACATTATTTCCTTAGCGCATCTACCACGGGCCTAAAATCTAGGAGGTTGCGACAGGTCAGTTGAATTCCCTTTTGTACACAAGGCAGAAATTGACCCCCAGTGCTTGTTTACAGTTTCGTTCACTGTTAAAATATCTGCACAAGCATGACCAGTAACAGCTCTTGGTCCAGTTGTATATTCTGGTATCCTGCTTCGCTGCCTGAGAGCATGACAGGGGATTCATCCAATGGTTTCTCATCAACAATTGGAATGAGCCACACTGGCTAAGAAACAACGACGTCAAAGTAAAGTGGAGGGCCCCTTACCTAGAAGACTCAGTAATCTTTGAAGAAAACCATTTAACATCGTTCATGGAAACCTATTGTTCAAAAAACCCCAAAGCTATTGGCATAGCATGTGGAATCAATTTGACAATCACTAATGTAATGGAATTATGGTGATCTTATACACAAACAATGATTTACCAAAATAAGATTTACCTAGGGGACTTTAAAATCAAGGTATTTTGGTACCAAAAAGAGTCTTTCATTTAATTCCCCTTTGCCCCTATGATTCAGATGATCTTTCACTCTACAGTTACGGACTTGGCCAGATTTCTTGGAAAATCAACCTGCAGAGAGGGAGGAGAAAGAACATGCTTGTGAGTATTGACACACTTTGTTTGTGTATAACCTTGTAACCTGTGGAACGTTGGTTCTGCATTTAAACTGAAAACGACTGAACATACTTTTGTGTTAATTTAGGAAAGTCGGTGCAGAAAAAAGTCCATAAAGCTCAATTGTTATGACTCCTCTGTCAAGAATTAAGGCGTTGGTCCCTTTAGTCTACATTGCTACAGTGCTCAAACGATAGAAGGTAGAGGCCAGTGTCTGTAATTACGATCAAATACCCCACACAGACAGACCCTGCTTGTCAAGCACCCTCTGTGGGTGGTCACCTTCCCTCCAGCTTCCTACCAGCCCGCCAGAAACTGTACGCTTGTACCCGAAAACAGACAGATGTCCAAACTCAAGCTGTACAAGACTCGGCCAAGTGTACCCGACCGCCTTCGACTTTAGTTCATGAGAAGCTTCTGTAATTGCCAGGTCTGCCATTTAACCTGGTCATTCCAGTAGCTCAGTTAGACAGACAACCCCCACAGACTTCCAGCATCGCCCAACGCATCTTTTCCAGATCTGCAGATAGCAAACACGCGTGCGGAGGGGAAGGAACACCGTACTTACATCGTATCCTCTGAGAACTGCAAGATGGAAAGCCAGGAGCTGAAGGGGGATAACACTCAGGATCCCCTGCAGACAGTCCACTGAATGGGGAACTTTGATTGTTCTTTTATTGTTCTTAATCGTCTCGATGTCTTCCTTATCACAAATCACGACAGGTCGCCCCTGCAACAAGGGGAAACGTTGAAGAAAAACAGGTCTGGAAGGTTCTCTTCTCACTTCTGCTCAGAGCACCAGGGGCAAGAACTTGTTGCTTCATTTAGAGCAGAACAGTTTAGCATCCCACAGGCATCCCTGTAGCATATTTTAAGGGGTAAACAAACCACACTAGGCTTCTGCAACCTGCTGTACAAATGGCACTGGCAACGCCCAGAGTATCTACTGAATTCACATTTTAGGCAGCGACACTAAAGCAAATAGTTTGGGTGCCCTGTAAACTGCTTTTATATTCAAAGCAACATTTCCGATGCACTGTACGCCTTCCCAGGTACTTACTTGCCGTGCAATGACCTGCTGGAGAGCGTTCTGGCACTTGGCATACGTGTGGTCTCTCATGATGATCATGATAACGGGCATGAGTTTGTCCACCAGCGCGAGAGGGCCGTGCTTCAGCTCACCTGCCAGTATCCCTTCGGAGTGCATGTAGGTAATTTCTTTAATTTTCTGGATGGGGAAAAAAATAATTCATTAGGGTTGTTTTTTTTTAACCATCTCTGTGGCTTCTTCCATTTTCTTTGCAACTTTGTAAAAATGCGTTCTGGCTCTCCTCAGGTCCTGTGTGTAGACCAGCCAGCCCGAAAACCCAGATCAAAGTAGAGCGTCTGGGCTGAGCTGCTTGCAGACCATCAGTTCTAGAACTTAGTACTTACAGTTCTAACACCAACCCTCCCCAGGCCTCACAATTTTTTTTATCTCATGGTCTTGAACTGGGCAGGCAAACGCAAAGAGGCCGTGTGTGCATGTCAGTGGGTGACAGCACTTGAACAACAGCAATCTCCTCAAAGGTAAAAACGGCGATTGACAGGTTTTAAAATGCACAGGCTCAGTTTTGGGCGCTGAGCATTCCTGGAAATGCCACCCCACAGTTCAAAGAATGGATTTTATTAGGGTGCCCAGTCTGTCACAGCAAAGCATTCCCAGTGTGAATTCTGAAAATCCACCCTTTCAACCCACTGCGGCCTGTGGCCGGTCCCTGACTCGGGTATCTTCACGTGACTCGGGCATCTGTACGTATGTGGCAGTCGCAGCGGTGCTACGGTGAGCTTTAGCTAATTGCCCCAGGAGGTCAGCCAACACGCCATCGCTGTTAGCCGCTTTTAAAACAACTTGTAGCCACGTGTTGTTTTCTGTGCTGAAACCCAAAGTCCACAGCTAAGTGCGTTTGAACCAGCTTGAAATAAAGAAATCTCTTACCAAAGCTCCCTCAAGACATGTAGCGTAGTGGTAGCCACGTCCCATGATGAGAACAGACTTCTGATGGTATAGCTCTGTGGCTAGCTTCTGGATCTCATCATCCATGCTCAGCACTTCTTTAATTAAGTCTGGAAAGAAAAAGAATTCCAGTTGTGTGTGCTTATACGCCCGCGCCTCTCAATCTACACCTACTGTTGATACTTCACACGCACAGATAGCAGTGACTTGAATATAAGAATTGGACTCAGTGTTTTAATAGTCCACCTCAGTGGTATGAAGACATCAGAGAGAACGCAGTTGCAAAAGTTATGGCCAGTAGCCACACTGCACATATCTGATCCCCTCGGTCTTTCAAAAGCAAAGTTCAGGCACTGCTGAAGTTTGTCTGTGCTGCTGAGTTTCACTTGGTAAGATGCAACCAATGCAGCAGTTTCCTACCTGGCAGTCCCTTCAGACCACGCATGATTTCCTTGCGCCTCTCCTGCATAGAAATTCTGTCATCGCACATCATCAGAGCAAACATCACCAGAGAGACAAACTGGCTGGTATAGGCCTAACAGGAGGGGAGAGGGAGAGCGAACACAGCATAAAGACAGTAAAGCAAATGGTTGTCACCTACTACGTAAACCCTTAGACCAGCTGCTGACTTTATTCTTATAACATGGTCCCAAGTGGCAGCCAGGGCAAATCTCAAATGGAGGCATGGCAAATGGAGGCGTGTGGTGGCACGATCTCGGTGTTCTCCAAGAGATTAAGATACAACAAGCAAAATGAAATATTTCCAAGATTCCCTGGCGACTATTAAATACTATTTTGTGACCATCCCCCATGTCCTTCACTGCAAATAACTGCTGAAAACACTGAAGGACGGGCAGACCCATTGGCTGGAGATGAACAGTGGAAGCCCACCGCTAACATCTGGCCCTCGCAACAGGACGGCTAGCTCAAATCGGTTTGGACCGCATTCAAGCAACACAAAGGCAGCTGAAAAGGTGATTTCTCACCCCGCTGCTTTAAGAACAGATTCTGAACCGTGGTCAGGCTCCGTACTTATCTAAAAGACCACAGTGATGGGTGTCACTGACTTGGGGGAAAAATCATCCGCACGGGCAAGTGAAATTAGTGCTGCAGTTGAGGCAGTTCTACTCCTGACAACATTTCAGGCACGGTATCAAGCAGCTATTGCAAAGTCCAGCCTCTGAAGCCCTTGTAAGGCAAACGTTATGAAATGGTCCATGGTGCCAGCCTGGGACTGAAGTTGCTTAGAAATAAGATTAAGGTTTGTCGTATTTCTGTCCCTTCCTAAACAATGATCCAACAAACCTGCGTGTTGCTCTACTGGAGAAGATTTAAGTAGCTCTGAAGGACCCCAGAAAAGCCTCCGTTACGCTGACTTGCAGAGTTTGATATGGAATGTGAGCTACGTTGTTTTGGTGCAGTTGAAGGTTACAGAGTAAATAGCACCAAACAGTCGTGCTAACGATGCTTGGGTTGGTTATAACATCGCCTCAAGATGAAGTTCTGGGCAACCTTAGGGCAGAATCTTTCCATGTTCATATTTCCGATATGCACAACTTTGGTAACTGCCCACATCACCAGAGAGAATATGCCATTTTCCGTTATCTCCAAACTGTAATGTTGGCTGTGTGAAAACAACCCAGGGACAAACAACTCCTTCAAGAGTTTCTTGTAAGAGACTCATGAATTTTCCATGATCAAATTCCCCAATGAACTATTAAACTCAAATGTGGTTTTTGGCTGAATTTATGTAACAGATTGACATCATCTCGCCTCTAAATATAACTAAATCAAAGCAGATTTCACCATGCAGAAGCACTTCATCAAAACGAAATGCAGCAACATTAAGTTATTCTATGCTGTATTGCGCGTAGCCAGATGCATCAACCACAGAGTAATTGTTAGGTGGCCATAAATACCGGGTGTCTGTAAGAGACCATTCCCCCACTTGCTGGAAGTATAGTTTTAATATCACGCTTTCTTTAGTAAAGCAGCACCACGAAGGGCAGTTACACGCTGTCAAACTTCCTGTAATCTTGTCTTTTAATTCCCTTTTTCATCTTTAGACCTTAGTTTAAACCTGCACCTCAAGACAAATGATGGCAAAGGGGAGAGCATTCTCTTCTTCAAGAATTCTTCCCTCTGAGACCCCTTTGCTTTATATTGCTTCCTTAGAATATTTAATTTACAAAAAAAAAAAAAAGCCCTTTGCAAGATATGAGAAACAGAAGATGAAGAGCGTTGCTGGGCACATGGTCATTAACTACGCTATCACCAACAGCAACTGGTAAAAAGGGAACAGAAAGCTTTTAACTGAGGGCCTGTGCTCTAGCCAACACCATCGGGGGGGGTTCAGTAATAGTAATAACCAGTGAATTCCATAAACTTACTGCTTACCTTGGTACTGGCAACCCCGATCTCTGGCCCTGCGTTGATATGGACGCCACAGTCTGTCTCTCGTGATATGGAGCTGCCAACTGTGTTGGTTATTCCTACGGTTAAGGCTCCTCTCTCTTTGCAGTACCGAAGACCCATCAAAGTATCTGCTGTCTCACCTGGAAAGACAGGTACTGACAATGCTGCGCCTCGGCAGCGGTTGCTGCTGTCGCTGCAGAGGTAAAAGCACCATGGTCGCCCAAATAGGATCTTAGAGGTTTGTATCTGCCTGGCCATGGTCGCCCAAATAGGATCTTAGAGGTTTGTATCTGCCTGCAAGCCAAAGGAGTGAGTGGTTCTTTCAGCCCCGGCACGCTGTGACGCACAACCTGACACACAGCCCTAAAAAGACGGCAGCGAAATCTAGAAAACACAAGTACAACAGCATTTCGTGTATGGAAAAGTCACTATTCTGGGGGAAAAAGGAAAAAAAAAAAAAAGGCAGTTCCAGTGTCTTCTTTAACAAAACCAACTTTCTTTTCCTGGTTAATAAAACTTCACCTGGGGCAGGGCGGGGGAAAAAAAATCTCTTTGGGATAGCTGACGTGTACAGCGGGTGCAATGGCGTTAAGGTTCAGCTGGGCCTTTCGAGCCCTGCCCCCC